GCCCTGGGCTTTATAAGGGCCAGGCCCTGCCTCCCACAGGCAGCTGGCTCTCCTTAGTTGCCCCGGCAACCTGCAGCTGGGCTCGTTACCCTGGCGACACTCAGCCGGGCTCGTTATGACCTGCCAGGGCTCTGTCTCTCTCCCTGGCAGTTTCTCCCCTCTAGGAGCAGAGCACCGAGGTGCTCTGCGACAAGCATCTTCAGGTAGATCATTTAATTCTTATCTTATTTCTGTTATGTTGAAGGGACATTAAACCAGGGTTAAAGTAAGGGCTTTCATATGCTTTTTAAAAATTGTGCATCTGTTAATTAACTTCCTTGGACATTGGGGCCCACTGGCTGTGCTGAGGTGGCATTCCTTGCCCTCCAAATTGGGGGGTGGATATCAGACTTCTGGGTAGACATTTTGGGAAAGAAAAAAGGTAGAGGTGTCCTCCATGCCATTCTATTGTGGCGGTGCATGTGCGTGTAGCATTTCTCATCTAAATCATGTATCCTTAATTATATAGTCATAGTTGCATGAGATGGCAAGGAAACCAAATGTATGTTTTCTCTCTTCCCCACTGAGTCTACTCAGATAGCTCTGCCTCACAGTTTTCTAGGTTGTCAACAAATTGTAATCTAAATACATGATGTGTAAAATATCAAATTGGAGAGCTGCTTTTCTGTCAGCCTGCAGATAACTTGTTTCTGTGCTAAATCTTGTCTGTTTTCTTGTGTTTAGCAAAGTTGGTGATCCGCTGGGTGGATATCACCCAACTTGAGAAGAATGCTACACTGCTTTTTCCAGACCTAATCAAAGTGAGTACAAGGTCAAGCGAACACTTCTTCTCTGTGTTCCTCAACATCAGTGAAACATTCAAACTAATGGAGCAGCTTGCCAACATAGCTATGAGACAGCTTTTGGATAATGAAGGCTTTGAACAAGATCGATCACTGCCGAAACTAAAAAAGAAATCAGCCAAAAAAGTATCAGCACTGAAACGGTAGGTTTAATCAAGAGAGCCTCTTATGCTTTTACTTCTGGATTTGGTATAGAAATTTCCTGAGAATATTCTTAATTTTTTTTAAATTAAAGAGGCGTTACTGTTCTTTAGTGGTAGTGAAAAGCAAAGAATGATTTATACATAACTGTTTGGCTTATCGCTGAAAATAGGTATGGAGAAATCTGCCTAGATTGCAACAGTTTAAGGAAAAGCTTGCAAAAGTTTACAAAAGTCTCCACTAGGATCAGTGTTGTGTGTGGTATCTTCTTGGTCATCTACAAAAAAAAAAAAAAAAAAAAAGTGGATCCATGGGGTGTGGGAAGTGTGCAGAAAATAAAAGTAAATCAAGAATGTAAATGATTGAAAGGGGCTTCTGAGGTAACTAATGAACCTAGATGAATTAAGAGCACAATAATACCTTTTTACACAATGTATAGTTAACTTGTAGAATTCATTGCTACAGGAGGTGGTTAGAGACAGATACCATAGCCAGGTTCAAAAAGAGAGTAGATAAATTCATGGGTGATTTGTGGCTGAATGGCTGGAGATGTTTCCTCTGGCATCTCTAAACCTATAATGGTGGATGCTAGGGAGGGTATAGAATAGGAGATGGATTGCTCTAGAGAGATTCAGTTCAATGCTCTCTGTAGCATCCACTTCTGCTGCTGTTGGAGATGGGATACTGGGGTAGGTGGACCGTTGGTCTGATGCAGTATGTTCTTACAACAGCTGATGAAGCTGGGCAGATTCTCATTTACACCAAGGCCCCTTTATATGGCTCTGCTAATTTTTAAAGGGGCATTCCATTGTAGTTGTACCCATCTTGTTCAGATAAACTCCTTTTACTTGCTGAGGTTTTAATATAAAAAGGGCATTAAACCCATTTGTGAATACTTTGTCCTATATTAATGGCATTGAAATGTGGTTATGGGTAGTTCTGTTGCAATTCCATAGCTTCATATAAAATGGAGCCAAATGCTATCCAGAAAGTATTTCTATTTCTCTCTCGCTAGTGGCATTATACCATAGCTGAACTGTTTCCTGTTAATTTTTTTCCTGTTAACTTTTTAAAATTTACAGTGGCGTAGCATATGCTGGGGTTACATTTTTTTTCTAACTAAATGACAGTTCAGGTGTATTACCATATTTATTTTCAACACTCTCACTCTCAAATCAGACACACACTTTGTTTTGAGAAGGCAGAATGAAGAAAAAGATTTTCCCCCCCTTTTACCAAACTGTTCAGATTCCATTTCCTTATTTAAGATATACCCTAATTTTCAGTAACTAATTTTAGGGGAGAAAGGCGAGTGTGGTATGTGAATAAATAAGGTATCTCACTCTGGGA